ATGATCTAGATGATAGTAGTACATATACGTATATGGGAGGTATGGATTTTATTCCATTTTATCATCAACGCTTCATGAACTCTTTGATCTATTTTCTTAAACTCAAAATAAGGTGCGGGATACACATCTCTCGCGACCTCGTTATAGACATTGTTGGTTCAGATTGGGTTAGTTTAAATGTCAAGGGTACTGAGGACATGGTATTGGGTGATTGGATATGTCATGTGGCTGAAGAGAAGAAGTACTTTGTGCACTATGTCGGCTATTCAATATGGAGGCCCATCCGTCAAAACCCTTTCCATGACTTTTATGTAGATCCGGACCTTGGTGAGACCATCTTGGTCCATCAGATGAAAGGCATTGAGAGATGTAATGCCATGAAGGATGTGTACACCAAATACGAAAAGGTTTCCAATGCTCAGTATCATTCGGAATTCAACAGCCAATGGTCTGGTCACAAAAGGGAGATTGTTCCAAAATGCTGGGAGAAAGAACAGATCTGGAATCAAACTTTGCAGTGCACCTACAAGAACTGGTTCTATGAAGCATGGGGTTTTAAGGAAGGGAAGTGTTAGATACAGTGCAGGCATCCTTAAACCAACAAGTCATAAATATAGCAGCCAAATTTAAGCATATGTTACACGAAATAAATTATCATATTTAATTATAGAACAAGAAAAAAGGAGAAAAAGAGGGGGAGAGAGAAATTAGTTTATTTATATTTATTTATAATAATAAATAAGTTTTGTATAATAAACAAGGTGCTTGGATATATGCTAAAGGAGCTTAGTATGGTACGTGTTGAGGTTTAAATATGAAATAATGTTTTTGCAGAATATATTATAACAAATTGTTCGATTTTGTAATTTAAATTTATTTCATATTTCTTTCATAAGCTATGCAATGTAGTGTGTGAATACAGTATTATTTATTAATTAATGTAGTTTAAGAACCTAAATCGTAATACGAACAATAATGTAATATAATGTAGCAATTTTCGTAATATTAATTTTGTTTCTTTATGGAGTAAATTTTATGAGATCTTTGGTTTGTTAGGGTAATACTAAATAATATTGTGGTTAGGATTTAAATTAAGTTTTATTACTTAATAGATGAAATATATTACTTGACACAATTTTAATTAACATAAGGAAATGAAATTCAGTATATGTAACATTTTGTTATGTAAAGTTCTAAAAATATATAATGAAAAAAAGTCATTAAGAATTGAGAATTTTCGTGGCATTGTTAATAAGTGTGAAAGCAAGCATGGTGGTTTAAAGAATAAAAAGCATTATGTAAAAATTCTGGTTGATAACATTATTACTATTTTAGATCAATTCATTTTTAAAAAGATAATTACTATTGACAGCGCAATATTAATTTATTAATACTCTCATTTTAATTAAGTGAATTAGTAAGTGACCAGGGTTGGATATGTATATATAAGACCAGACACCTCACGAATAAAAGGGTTCTTAGTTCGTACGCGCCTCCATAAATAATTTTTGCATATTTTAAATTGAACAAGTGCAAAACTTGTATTAGCTTAATTAAAATTAGGGTTCTCTATAAGGAACACGTGTAATGAATTAAATGGCTTAATCAATATAAATTGTTAAACATTCTTACATTTTGTGAACACCCAATTTTTGAAGGAGTAGATAAATAACTGTTTCTTTAAAAGGAATTATCTTTTATAGTTTAGAATGAAACTTGACAATCAATTATCATGAGTTATAGTAGAAACTATGAATAACTTGGCTAAGCTGATCGAAATAATTTGTTGGTCAGAAAGTGTTTAGTTAGCTAGTTTAGCCGATGGGTGGCACATCTTATTTATTAGTCTGTAGTGAGCTGCTATAAAAATTCCATTACAGATCTTACCAAAATTGCAGTGTCCATAGTATGTGATTGAGTTAGTTTGCATAAGAATTATTACTACTTTCTGTAAAGATTCTGTTACATAATTTATTTATTCGGAAAACTCCTTCCATAGATCATTAGCACAAAAATTTTACAAACCCGTTCAATAAAAAACACACTTTTTGTAATATTTTATTAAGATAACTTAACTCTTTGCCTTAATTAAATTTGCTCTTCATCTAAAATTACATATAGTATTAAACTTTTATAAAAACAAGTTTGAAAATCATTAAATAATGGACTCCTAGGCCACATAAGTCTTTTTTGTCATTTATACAAAAATCAGGTTTTGAATCTTTTTCAAAGCTTAGAACAAGTTGTTCTATATATTTTTCTTTTCGAAATGAGCTATAATTGACTTCTATAGTTTTGATACTTACAGAGTTATAGTCAAAAATTACTCTAACTCCTCTTTCCCTTTTTCTTTTCTCTTACCTTGGGGAATTTTCTTTTCCCAAATACATAGAATCATTTTTCTT